CTCGTATGTTGTAATGTCTCAGTCGAAACTTGTCACGTGAAAAGGCATATAGACGTTAAATGAAGTGCTGAACGACCTAATCATTCGATGGCTGTAATAGTGGGAATAAGTTCTCAGTTAATTTAACCTTTTGTTGTCCGTGTTGCTGTTGTTCGCGACGTTGTTGCGGCTGTAATCTATTTTTACATACTTTTATGATAGTCGAGTATCATTAATTTATTACTTTTAACGTTATTTATGCTAGATTAAATATAACTCGATAGATGTGCGTATATAGCTAAAATAGATTATGAGTTCGAAAGGAATGGAGCTGATAATAACAAAAACACAATTAATAGTGATTAATGTCATGAAAACCCGTATCTTTACAATATATACTATCTGCATGCCCATTGAAAGAATTATGAAGAACGTTAGTGAGCAAATATTCACCGCATATATATATATATATATATATATATTATCAGGAGTCTATCAATATTGATAGACTCCTGATATTATATATATATAAGCATCTAAATAGTAGCTCGTAGTTAGTCCTTAGTGGTTTGGTTGCAGTGGTTAGTTGTCGGTATACATGTCTGCTTTATGTTAAACCACCATGACTGTTTTATAGAATTTATTTATAAAATATGTTCTCATAATTTATATAAAATCATTAATTGCTTTTTATTTACGATAACCTACTGAACATTAGAGAACACGATGACTGGACAACTGGACAACAAATAAACTGGAATATGGCACATCCCGTGTGGATTCTTCTTGATAAAAGTTACACTTCATTACGCCGTATAGTGGTAACAGAGGAAAACAGGACAGAAAATAAAAAATGATAAAGATGTAATACATGCTGACATCTCAAATAATAATATATACAAATATGAGCATTCAGCGTCGGCGTTCCGCGGCGCTGTGCGCATATCACGCGGACTGGCGTATCATCGCGCGCAGCGCTTATGGATCACAGCAAGCTGATGGCACAAGTTGTAATCATGTCTTCTGATGTGGGTTAATCTGCAGGTGTATCAGTATATAGTATGTGGTTTGAGGTGTATAGCTACAATGTATGAATATCTGGTTGAATGGTTTAAATCAAGTCATGTAGAAATGTTATTAATTGAACAATGATAACAATTCTAAGTGAGATCATGAGTACATTATTAAGCCCATTAAACGGGTTTACTGTTGATCAGCGCAGCAACCCAGAGTGTATTAGCATTATGCCTACATCTGGAGTTCCCGACGGTTCTGAAAAACAAAATTTTTTTTAAGACGGGTCGCACTTTTGATGGCTTATAAACTGTAGGCATGTCGAATTTTATCATTTTAACGTGGAGAGTAAATTAACTGACATCTGTTGGGCGAGATCGTACGGGGTTTCGAGGGCATTGAGACGCTTAGGCTGGATGCGCTGTTAAATAGGTGGAGGGATGGGTTTCATCTTGCGATATAGCATGCACTTCTTACTAAACATTTGTTGTTATGTAATTATAGAATTTAAAAGAAATAAGACAGCGCTATTTGTTTTCATGAGAATTATCCACATGATCGAAATATATTCAATTTAGGACGATAAAAGCCCATGTGCGAAATTATTAAAGTTAAAGTCAAGAGGAACGGTACATAACGACAGTGTAACGTTGCAGATTCTATCAGAATTGCTAGCCCCGATGCGTAGGGTGTGCTGGTCGCACCAGCTTTTTAGCAATAAATCATGCTTAAGAATGTAATAACAACAAGTTGCCGCGGACGACAGCGATCATCTAACGTCGACTGCGTGATCTGTGGTGGAGTGGTGGGATTCTAGTTAACCCTTGTTATCCCAAATGTGTTCACAGTACGCGCGCGAGCACAGTGGAATGCACGGGGATGGGTATCAGGAACCTTGGCTCAAGGATGTTGCGTTGGGATCGTTGATGAAGTTGCACGAATGTGGCGCGTACGTTTAAAAGTGTCTTCAGATGTAAAGATGGATAGCTCCATCAAACGTAGTGCAGCGACAACTATTTGCAGACAGATAGGTAAGGCACTCATCATTTACTACGCAGCCTACAGGCTGCAAATAGACAGCTGCCCACCTGTAACCACTGAACGCAGGCAAAAACTACACAGTACAATAACATGCACTGGAGTAGCCACTGGAGTGCATACGGTACAATGCTAACATACTGAAGTACGAATGCCATAGAAATTATAACGATTGGAAGCCAGCATAAACTTCTCTTTAACCAAATTTGTAGCTTTTTGAAATTTACTGCTGACATTGTAGCCTCATAGATCTCAGGGCATGTAAAGTTTTCTACTAGCAACCGGCAGTCAAGATTCTTTCTAACAGACATTCAACAAATCCAATGTGTTACCCTCTCTTGAGGGCTTCAAAAGGTTATCTGACGACTTAACTCGAATGGTGGCAGAAAGTACGATTCAGTGGTTCCTTCAATAATGCTAAATGCTAGGCACGTGAACGAAAAAAGTTTTCAATCGACTCCGTCAGACCATGTCCTCAGAAGAAGGTCTAATCTGCGCCTGTGCTTGACCGTGTTGACTGGGACTCCAATTTCGC